CAGGAAGGCCTGGCCGGAAGGGATGAAAAGCTCCCCAAAACACCAGTCATTGTGAAAGACCAGATGGAGGTTGTGAGCTGTTCTGGCAGGAAGTGGGGAAACGAGGTGAGCGTGTGTGTGTGGCTGGTGTTTTTACTGAGCTCTGTGACCAGCACACACATCTTGACCTCTCTGGACCCACACAGTTAAATAGGAGACCTTTCTTCTGAGGCATTGGTAGATGTTTCTGTTGCAACGCTGTGTGTGTGAGGCAAAGATTTCCTCCCCACACTGAGATTCTAGCTTATTCTGTCACTTCTTGCAGTAACCATCAGTGGGGAAGAGGCACTGGTGTCCACCAGGCTTGCAGACCAGGCTAGGAAGGAGTGGGTCAGGGTTTCTGTGATGCCAGCTTTGCTGGGGCAGAGAGCAGAGAGCAAAACCTTCCACTGCACAGGGAACAAAAGGCTTTGGGATCTATCAAGTGAGCCCTGGCAGCTGTGAGCCAAGCTGAAAGTCAAAACTAAACAAGCCGGGAGGCAGAGGGAAGGGGCCCCTCCCGTGTTTTTATGGCGCCTGTATTATTTTGTTCTTGGGGCCTGAATCTCTTCCGCCCGTTGCTATAGCTGCCACTGGGCGGAAGGGGTGAAAGATCACTGGATTTTTGGCATGCTGAGGAGCCTGAGCGCCTGTCAGCAAAGGCTGAGTCATTGAGTGGAGATGGGACTGCAAGGGGCCTCTGTTTAGAGCATTTTAACCTTCAACATTTTTTGCAGCCTGCAATTAAACCTCACAATGTTTGTCAGTGGTATCCTTCTTTTGGAGATGGGGCCCAGGAGGAGATTGACTGGACCCACGCCAAGAGCTGGGTTGTTTTCAAGCCCAGGGGGAAGCTCAGTTCCTGTTAGAGAAGCAAATAAACAGAGTCACAAGGTCTGGGTTTTGTTTCCAGCTCAGGCTCTGGCTTGTCTCAGCACTGTCTCCCCCAGGCCTTAGTTTCACCACCCCAAAAACAACTCAGATAGTGTTGTGGGGGTCTGATCCATGTCTGGGATGGTCTTTCAGTGCTGAAGGGCAAGCAAAGTATCACAGCTGCGGGTTTAATCTAAGCAGACCAATTCAGACTGGAACTGAGACACAACTGTTTTGATGTTATGGAGGGTGATGATGATTAGCCATAGCAGCACACTGCTAGGGAAGCAGCAGATCCTCCACCTCGTGGTATTTTTCCAGATAAAAGTGGCATGCCTTTAAAAAAAAAACCCCAGGCTGAGTTCTTGGGGTAACAATGAAATCCACTGGCTTTTGTCATATCAGAGGTCAGCCTGTGATTTAATGGTCCCTTCTGGGCTTAAACAGATGCATTGAGTCTATCCTGCATTACCAACTCTGGTTTTATGAGCTGTTAACCACCTTCTCTGTGTCTTTCTAGGCCTACGTTTTCTAAAATGAGTAGCCAGCCTAGGACACTTTGACATCTTTTTTTTTTTTTTTGGAAGAGCACATTTCTTTTAAGGTGTGTCAAGCCAGGTATCATTGACGTACCCAAAATCTTCAAGCGGACATGTGCAACACTGACTAAGAAGGTAGGTGTCAATCAAGGACTGTTTTGTTACAGTCTGCGAGCTGGTTTCAGACCAACGCTGAGGGAACTCTTCTGGGTTTCTTGTACCATAATATCTGAGGGCCTTCCCAAAATACATTTGAAATGACGTGATTCACATCTGTGGCATGTCCTGTCTGTCACGTTCTCCTCTGGGCGGGGAGCTGTGCGTGAAGAATTGTTGTTCTATCTTGTTAATACAGGCACGCTTAGGTGTGAATTAGTGAAGGCAGCGTTGAAAAAAAAGTCCCTTGCACTGCAGGTAAAAGAAGAGGTTTGTGGGTAAAAAGAAAATTAAAATCATGAGTGGCTGGCTGTGTTGCATCAAAAGAAAAGGCCGGTCTTTCCAGAGGTGTGTCAGCACCAGTCTGAGCAAGCTGGTTTCATTAACCCCCCCAGTTTGCTGTGGGTAATGGAGGGTCAGTGCTAAAATGCAGTCAGTCCAATGAAAGATACCACCCACCAAAATCCTTGCCTGTTGCATTGTTCCTAGACCATCGTGGCTACAACATCACTTCCAGGTGGGAACAGAGCAAAAGGGAGTGACTGATTTTTGAGCTGCTGGTAAGTGCTGTACACACCCCACTTGGCCTTTGAGTTGTACACAGAAACACGCTGTCTCAGGGGAAATGCCACGCCACCCTGGTTGCTGACCTAGTAATGCAGCATAAAGGTCAAACATGGGTGGGTGTATTCAACCCAGAGGTTGGGAAATGTCCACAGAATCAAACAGCAGAGCTTGGCTTGAGGGGTGTGATTTCCCTGAGCCTTCAGGGTTGTTTTGCATCCCAGCCCCTCATTCTATATTTGGGTCCACCTGCAGGCAGGTGAGAGGAGCAATAAACATCATGAGGGATGAGACCACGTAGAAAAGAGCTTGACGTAGACCCGGAGCAACAAAAATAGGCTTGCTTGAATTAGCAGATCAAGGATTAATGATTTCCAGAGGGCTTTGTTTGAAGTGCTAGATGCGTCAGCAAAGATGGATGAGTTCTAATGAGACAGACTCCGCTGAGAATCAGATCAGCCCTTTTTGAAAGGGTGGGTTTGAACAGGAAGAGCTGCATGAGCTCATCCCGACTCTTCTCTGCATTGCAGCACAAGGAGGGGGAAGGGAGCCGGGCTGTGCTGTAGAGATGCCACCCCCTCCTCCCATGAATCATCCACAGCTCCCTTCCCCCTCTGCTGCTGCTTCACCCTAAATTTAGTTTGTGCACGACATTGAGAGAAGGCGAGGGGGCCGTGTGATGTCAGTGTTGTCAGGCTGTGCTTCTGGACAGTGCCAGGGCTGGAAATGCATTTCATACACCAGTATGTTTTCTCCGTCCTGTCCTAGTTTGTATGGGTCCAGTCTTGTTTGTAGAGGACCTGATCAGCAGAAGAGTTTCTAGGGCCATTTTCAAGCTCTCAGCACCCAAAGTTAGCTTTGTTTTTTTCTCCAAGACACCTGGTTCCTACTTCAGCACTGTAACAAGGGCCTAGATTTTTGGAAAACCTCTCTGTTCCTGCCATGGCACTGGTAGATGGACTGTTTTCCAAAAAGGGGCTGGAGTAACCCTTTAATGGGCCCCTAGGCAAACCAATTTGTGGGCCCCCAGGTGAAGATGACATTTTTATATTCCTTTTTATCACAAAATAATTATAATGTGTAAAATAAGCACAACTGGGCCCCTTCTTCCCCTAGCCATGCCTATGCGTTAATGTGGCCCTGCTCCCAGTGTCTTTGAGAAATGCAGCCTCGATTCATGATGACTGGGTCCTTCTGACAATCCTTCCCATGGTGCTAGTTACTGTAGTTTCTAGATCCTGCAGCTTTTATGCCGCTCGTCTCAGCTCAGGCTTCAGGATGGATTTGTAGTCTCTGAGCAGTTCTGTGCAGAGGGGCGGGACACAGCTATATTATCTAGTGTAGCTTTGTTATCCCGACTACGTGGGTGGCCAGAGATCCCCAGTACAGTGTGTCCATCTCTGCCCCACCTCTTCTCCTGCCCTGTAGTGTCCACTACCCAACAAGGAGACACAGAGGACAAGGGATCCAGTGGTGTTTCATTGCTTCCACGTTTTAGGGAAGGTCTCGCATAACTCTACCCCTCTTAGCATGAGACAAGCAAAGCATCTCAGGGAGCTTGTGCTGCTGAAGGGAGGGGTTAATTATTGTCCCATGTAATGCTTTCTCGGGGTGGCCCACTGAAAGTGAGAGAGGTGGTACCAACCTCTCTGGACTCCTGGATGAGGATGACACAGCTCAAGGGACCTGTTGTGATTTCAGAAGGCCTTGTCGGGGGCTTTCCTCCTCCAGGAAACTACCCCACCCCACCCAGGGTGCTTCCCAAAGCGTGTTGCTCTTTAGAGGATGCTTAGAGGGCAGCTTTTACACAGGGGACGACCCCAGAGATGTAGGGAAATCACCACAACCTTCCTATTAATTGTTACTGCTGTTTTCATCAGGAGATCCCTTCTCTCTGTGAACCAGCACAACAGTGGTTAAAAAAAAGCCCTTGCACTGTGCTTAGGGAACCAGAAGTGCTGCTAAGCATTAGCTGGAAAGGGAGCTGAGACAAAGACAGTTAAGACTGTGAGAAACAGGGCAGCCTGAGCCTACCAGCATGCCCAGAGCAAAAAACACTGATCCCCATAATCCCTCCAGTTCAGACCTGAGCGACTGCAGCTGCATAACAGAAAGAACAAGGGCATCCAATGATACCTTCCCTGCTTCAGTTACTGCTGCAATGCAGTGAAAAATGGCTTTGCAAGTCTGTAAAGGAAAATGCTTGATGAAGCAGCTTCTTTTATTCCTCCCTCCCCCACCCCAACCTCTTTCATCTGCTAAACTTTTAAAATGTATATGCATTAGGGCCAGGGGAATTTAAAAATCCAATGCACGAATATGAAGAGGCAGGCTGCAGCTGGCAAGGATTGGCTGACTGGGCTGGAAAGAGAGGAGGATGGATGGGGGCTGGGGAGCCTGGAGTTCTTCACAAAGAACTATTGATTCGACTCCAGAGCCACGGGCCAATTCTACCACCCACACCCCCGTATGCGGCCTCATTTCCTGCTCAAAATGCTGTTTGTCTTGCCAAGTCACGGTGTGTAAGAGCATTTAGAATCAGGGCAGCTCCATTTTCCCTGCCGCTCAATAGAAAATGTAAACAGAAGGCAAGGCCAGTACTGCTCTGTGACTGTTTATAAGGATCCATTTTCTGAGGTGCTCCAAAATGTCTCTGCACTTTTCCTCACTGGCTGTAGCTTTTAAGGTGCTAGACTCCTAGAAAATGGGGGTGGGAAGGGGCCTCAGGAGGTCACATCTAGTCCAACCACGTGCTCAAAGCCCAACCAGGTCCCCAACCCGTTCATCCCAGGCAAGGCTTCATCTAGCCAGGTCTTAAACACCTCCAAGGACGGAAAGTCCACAACCTCTTTGGGTGGCAATTTACTACCCTCCTAGTGAGAGAGTTTTTCCAGATATCCAACCTCAACTTCCCTCCTACAACTCGAGCCCATTGCTCCTTTTTCTGTCATCTGCCCCCACTGAGCTCCATTCTCTTTGTCACCACCCTTCATGGAGTCAGTTGAAGGCTGCTATTAAACCCTCCTCCTTATTGGTTTCTTGTATGCAGCCTTTCCTTCCTAGCAGGATGTTTTCCCAGCAGGCCAGCTGCCGGAAGGGTGTTTGTTCCTGAGGAATGTGCACGGGCAGGTGAAAAAAGACCTGGAGGCAGAGGCCTGGCTCTCACAAAGTTGTTGTGAAAGGAGGGTGCTGTTGTGCCGGCTTGGCTGTATGGTAAACCAAAGTCCTTTTGTTTTCCATAGCTTGATCTGATAGAGAAACTTTCATTGTAGTCCTTTTGTTTGTGTTGTGTCAGAAGAGTTAAATTGTTACAACCTCAAAGGTGGATACAGCTCATGCACTTATTCCTGGTTAATTCCAGCCTCACCACCTTCCCTCCCTTGCCCCCACCTTTCCCTGCCCAAAACAAATTGGCACCAGCAAAAATGCGAGCCCCGGGTTGCCTTGAGATCCTTTCAATGGTGCCGTAGGATGCCATGCAATGTTAGCCCTGGCAGGTGTGCAGATGCGGTTCACAAGGTAAACCCAGAAATGTCAAATGGAAAACTATTGTGTTCAAAACATTAGGACCCTGTTGAAGTCTTCTGAGCAATTTGCAACAGAAGAATTGCTTTATTATTTTCTGTAGTCACAAATACAACAAAGCGAAGCAAAAAAACCCAAACAAACCCCAAGCAAAACCTAAGGCATTTTTGGAGGGGGGGGGGGGGGGGGGGGGTGAGGGTTAATCTGACAGGGTGTGCCTTGAGTCTAAAAAGGGCTGAGAATTATTGCTGTTGACTTTCCTTTGTAGACATAACCTAAATTACCTGGAATAACTTCTGCTCAAAGAGCCACTGAGTCCACTGGAGGAGTCTGCACTGCTTTGACTTTACTGGTACAGTTAAAAACAGTGGGTTTTGTGTGTAAAAAGTTCCTACCTGGATGTCCCCTCATCTTTTACAATTGAAAATGTATCTCTTCATGTTGTCTATCCCCTCTGTACACCCATTGCCCTATCCCAGTGCTGCATGTTCTGTTTTTGTGGCTATGTTTTGTCCTGTTGTGCACTTCCCTGTATAACAGTGTAGGGCGTCTCGCAGGGTACAGGGAGCTGGTGGTTGTGACTATATTAAGGATGGTTTGCTGTAACAGCAAGCAAAGAATAGAACTCTTATAACTGCATTGGGCGCTGGGGCTCATCACATCTCCCATGCGTCTGTTTTAAAGAGGTGAAATGGAAACCATGCACCTTTTCTGTTGAAGTACTAGACTCCTATATGTGTGGAAATTACATGGGTTTAGAAAGTTACCTGGTTATTAAAAAAGAACGCTCTAGCAAAGCAAAGAGGTTTAAAGCAGGGAGCAAAGGTGATCAGACTGAAGGGCTGAAATAGTTCTGACAAAAATGCTATTGCAACTAAGCCAAAGATTTAAAATACTTGCAGCTGGTAACAAAATGCCTGGAATTTGAGCTCTGTGGCATGTGATGTCTATGTTTAACAGAGACACAAGTGTCATGCTAAATGCTAGAAAGTGCAGGATACAGCTTGTCCAAGTGGATGCTGAAAGATTTCCTTTGTTTTCTCGGCACATAAATAACACAGGTTTTTGTGTTTGCTTTTCCTGTAGTGTCAGTACAAATGGAGTTCAGTTTCCCTCTGCTGGGTCGCAGAACTGCTTCTTAAAAGGAGACTGAAATGAGAAGTTGTCATTGTTATCTTGTGTAAATGGACTCAGATTCAAATTCAAATTGGGGCCCTGCAGGGCAATGTTTTCCAGAAAGGTGCGACTGGGTCTAGGGCATATTATTGAGAGAGATGGACTCTTCATTTAAAACAAGAGAAAATGGGGTGCGGGGGAATGGAGAACAAATAGCATTGGGGTTGTTGCCTTAGTCTTCTTCAAATGGCTCAGGGCAGGGTTTTTTAGGAAACCCTTTAGGGACTATATAAAGAATTCATGTCATGTTTTATAGTTGTAATTTCCTGTATGAAAACATCCCAGCCTGCATTAGGCTACAGAAACCATAACGCTCTCTTCATGCCATAACAGCAGCTTAATCTACAATCTTGAATCCCACCATCTGACCTGCTAGAAGGCACCGTGGGTCCATTTTTTGCCTAGCTTCCAGCCACCCAATCGTAAGGAGATATCTAATCTGGTATCCTCTTTTCCTGAAAATAGCCAAGGGCCAGTGCTTCAGGGGAAAACAAAACCATCCATCAATGAATTGATGCCATAAGTGGTCTCAGTTTCACCCCTTGGCTCGCCTTACCTGGCAGTTGGTATGCACCCTGAAACTCTATCCCTAGCTCTGGGTAGATGCGATATCTTTTATTAGACCAACTGAGTAGTTAGGGGAAAGTTCGTAGCAATCTTTTGGGAGCAGTTGCTCTGCTTCGGGCACAGGGCTGAGACTCCAAGGAACGAGAGAAGCTAAAAGTGTGGAGGGATGGCAGTGAAAATGCAAACAGGTCGAGATAAACAAGCAGGGAAGGGAGGGGGAAGAGAGCAGGGGAGAGAAAAAGTCAGGGGAAACGAGAGAGATCAAATACAAGGTGAGAAAGAGGCAGCCCATAAAAGAGGAATAGTTGGAGATCAGGAAAGCAGG